CGGGAGCTGTCTGTCGTTCTGTCCATCTATCTGTGTCCTCCGTGCGATGTCTACCCGATCCACTTATGGACGTTCTATGTACATAGTTCCTTTCCTTCCTTTTCCTTGACTTGACTTGACTTGGCCTTGACCAGATGGTGTTATGCAGTCACGTATATATGTATGTATGCAGGTGTCTCTTCTGGGTATGTATGTATTGGTAAATGCATCCGCAGCGGAGACTCCGTCGCACGTTCATAGATATGGCCGGGAGGGCGGGAATCTGCTATCTATGGAGAGCGAGGGAGGGTGAAGTGGGACTAGTGCCCCCCTCGCGCTCACTCTCTTGGTTCCATGGGGGGGAAAGCTCCCTTTTTGCTTCCGTGCTTGATCGTACCGATCACGTCGACTTGAATGCCTGATGCATACAACTGGCTGGCACACCAGCACCTTGTGGCGCCCGGTGCGGGGTACATACGCCGGCGGCTTCCCGTCGCTGTCTCGTCAAGAGCAGGCGTCCTCCGTGCGATGTCAACCCGGTCTATGCATGCAGGTGTCTGTTCTAGGTGAAGATGTAAATGCATCCGCAGCGCCGCTGGCTTGTACGAGGGCGGAAGCTGAAATTGAGAGTTGGCTGCAGAGAACATTTTTGAGCGAAGGATTAATATTGTCTATATATGTACGTGTGGTGGCACCGTGTCATGCACACAGGTGTCTCGTAGTCCTGGGTGAATGTATCCTCCGCAGCGCAGCGCAGTGCAGTCCCGGAGAGAGCATCCGCCATCCATATGACGCATTCTCGGATAACGCATCCCGTCGTCACTTTGCCGGAGTGGTTAACGGGATCGCCTGCTATAAACCACGAAGAACGCGTTGGTATATACGAAAAGCGGTTGGGCTTTGCCCGCGAGTGTTCGAATCGCTCAGGTGACGCGTCTTTTTTCTTTCTCTTTTCTCTTTTTGGGGCTCCTTTTGTGCTTTTTGTAATTCCTGACCTTACCTTATTGTGGGGTTGGGGTGGTGATGTTTGTTTCTCCTTTTGGGTACGCGGAAACATCGGGTACGTTTTGATTTGGGCTGCGTGCGATTAATTGTCTTCGAGGCGGAGGGAAAGATGCTTTTTGGTGATTGAGTGATTGACTTTGAGGCCAGTCGTGGAAAGATGCTCTTCGTGAGTGATTCTTCAATCACTGTTTGGCCGCTCGTCATATCCAGGAACAAGGTCTCTCGGTAGTGGCCACTGATCATGACGTCGCTTGGTTCCTGATCTCTACTTTTCGGGGTTACTAGTTGACACACCGATTTAGCGAAGACTTTTGTACTGGACCAAGTTGAGTGCCCTTTAGCGGAACGCTAGCGCGAGCATATGAACACCCCATGCGATGAGTATTAACACAGTTGCCACATGCTGGATCAATTTCCCCGACTCGTTATCGACGCTTCTTATTCATTTCCAAGCAGAACGATGTATTTTTCAGTAAACCGGACCGAATGCTTCTGGCAAGAGTCCTTCGGCAACGCATCCATCGATCATGGACATGGTGGACGTCACCACGATTTCCTTGCGAGAGTGACTCGTGATTGGTGCTAGTAGGACGTCGAATCGCTCAGGATGCATCCTTATCTTTCTTTCCTCTCCAGCGCAAATGTTGTTCACCATATGGACTCGAAGCTCACCTCTCTCCCCCCCCCCTTCCCCCACACTGACATTTTTTAATCATTGCAGACATGACTGATCTTCAAGTTATCATAGAGACTAAGGATGTTATCCCAGCGTTCCGATCCCGACGTTCCGATCATGGAAATCGTGGAAAAAGATACTTGTATCTTGTTCGTTATGCAATCACGGCTGAGCTGCTCTCAACAATCGCACCCCCTCTCCCCGACATATCACTCAATCCTTTGTAGCCCTCGAAACTCCTCTTACAGCACTTGTGTATTAGCAAAATCAATCAACGTCGCTCGATCGTCGTGGAAAAGAGACCTATGTTTGTTGATGTCGCCATGCTTGATGCTCAACTAGTGTAATGTCGAGAATGCCTGCTGACACAGAGCCAACACTGGCGAAGCATGCCGGGAGCCATTGACATGCTCCATGGCGAAGCCAATAACTCGACCTTCCCCGGTTAAGTGTCCGAGAAACTAGGGGCCGGTTTCGTAGTTTTGTATCCCATTGTATGCAGAAGTTTCAGAATCGAGGTAACAGAATCGAGGTAAGGTAGTTCATAAGATATTTGACTAACATGGGTAGGTCAGATTGGGGAGTGCTGGCTTCGTATCAATTGGAGCGGAGTTTACGTCCCATGTGAAGGCTTAGGTAGTCGATTTGGAGGGGATGCCAGAGGTGTGAGAGATACTTGCGAGTTCGACTTTCGTGACCTCGGAAGAATGGGGGCGGCCTTCTGCAAAATTGCGAGCTATGCGGCAACTATTCCGGTCACCAGGCGGAAGAGGGGGTAAGATGGAGATTAAGAGGGCTCGAAGCACATATCGTAGACATCATATAAGTTCACACCGATGGTCAGATATTTGAAGAATTTGACCTGGAGTACTTTGATGTCATAGGCAGTGTCTCCCATGGAGTTACGGACCAAGAGGGTTTGATATTAATTCCCGCTACATTTGCCGTGGGTTCCTATTGAACGCTTAACTCAGTTATAATCACATTTTTCACTGTTGTGAAAAGAAGACGTGGCAGTCGGGACCCTCGCAACATGTTGGCGTACCCTGAGAAGACATTTCGCCAATCCCCACATCATGGTAAACTGATGTCCAAATCCGAAGTCAGGATCTGCCAGAGTCTAAGCAATGCACGTGTAACCGAGAGTGCGAGAGTGGATGACAGATCTGAAGATGAGGGGAAAGGGGATATTGATGACATGAGAGTGCATGAAAATATGTTATGTCCGCTGAATGCGAGTATCGAAAGACCTTCAGGCACGAATTTGTGCGCCTACGTCCAATAGGCATTTGCGGTTCTGCCAGTAGCGCATCTAACTTTTGCATGGACCGGATGTGCACCTCTGGGTGCTCGGTGTTTATGCAATGCGCATAACTGAGTGCTTGGAGAGCTCGGACTTGAGGTACTGTGTCCGACGGAATGCGACGGACCAAACCGTGGTGAGTGGATGAAGGAATCTCATGACTCTTTCTAGGGAATTACTGATGGGCTCGGGACCTTCCGGGTCATCGTCTTTGGGATGGCCGGGTTCAAGACCTTTTCATTCGTTGGCAGATGGTATAGAGCTATCCGATTTCTGGACCTTTTGCGCGGCCTCTTTGGCCTGTTTCTCAGCGTGTGAAGATGTGACGTGACGGCTGTGTCCGTCCAACTGAAAGGGCTGCTTTGCGTAATCTGGATGTGATCGCAACCGAACTTCCGTAGATGTTGTGAGTGAACCTGCGTAGACCTGCGTACTGATCGTCTCTGTGGCGCACATACCTCCAAGGTGGCCATTGTCTCTTTCGCGTTCAACATCGTCACTTTGCCGGAGTGGTTAACGGGATCGCCTGCTATAGCATTCAAGCGGTTGCACTTTGTGCGCGAGTGTTCGAATCGCTCAGGTGACGGCTTTTTGCTCCTGTTCGTCGCTTTGAACGTTTATTTCTAGAGAATATGGTGCTTCCACAAACGATGTTCTGAGAATGATGCCAAACTCACATTTCGAGACTTAGGAATTACGTTGAAGTCGTGCACACAATTCACCCACGTATTGGGACTACTATTCTTTTTGTGATCACTATCGTCACTTTGCCGGAGTGGTTAACGGGATCGCCTGCTATAACATTCAAGCGGTTGCACTTTGTGCGCGAGTGTTCGAATCGCTCAGGTGACGCTTTTTGCGTTCATTCGCGCTTGACC